GATTCAATACATGATAAAATCCTATGTCATCGTGTGTGGTTAGATGCTTTGCTCAACTAATATCCATACATTTTAGGGCTGGGAAAGTAATGAAAATATTAATTTTAATTGAACTGTTCAAAAGTGGGCAACTATTATTATTATCATAGGATTGTCCAAGTCAACGGTGGGGTAACGTACTAGTTTGTTCGTCATGCCAAACGCACGGGTTCTATTCCCTTCATGGGTACACTTGAAGTACATTTCTGTGTAGCCCAAAGTGGTATTGCTTTAATATTGCTTAAACGACATAAACCTATACTCATGACCTATTTATAGTAAAACTGTTTTAGAAACAATACGGATAACGAACTATGGTGACTATGAGTACTTCTAACTGTATATTGTAAACAACCAAAAAAACATCGCCCGAAAAGACGAGGTTCCGGATTAACGCGGTTTCACTGTATGGGGCTGCCCATTAAATAGGATAATATAGTGAAAATATGCTTATTGTGGCTTACCTTATGGGTATATAATCCAATAAGGATCCTAACTGTAAACTCGCATGTGTCCCCCAAGGGATGCGAGTAGTAATGAGTTATATTTCGACATAGAATATCTTTCAAATTTTCATCCAGTTTCACAATATCTTTATTTCGAAATATTTGCTTGCCCCTTTCAGAGAGATACAGCCTGATAATGAATCACTGTGGGATTTACATAAAAGAGCTGAAGACGATAGGGACTTTTGAACACTATTGCGAAACAAGGGAAGGTGCATGGGGTAGGGTCTGGGTGTGGACATTCTTTACAGGGGGTCAAGGTCGAAATGTTTCCACTCAAATCTTCACTTCCCACTTTTATAATTATCATGCACTTTATCTATGTTATCATCTTCCTGTGCCACGATTTTAAAATTACGATGTCAAAGGTTACCGGGGTCTTTTTTGTCTTGTTATATTTTAGCAATATTAGTTAACAAGGGGGTTGAAGAAAGACTGATATGTTTTCGTTTCAGGTTCTGTAGTTTGTTTATTGGTTTCATTTTAATTTATATGTTTTTTATTATATGAAAATAAATCTAGTGTACCGTTAATTCTAATGCCAATGAGATATTAAACTTTTAATTTTTTTATCATGGATTTATGCTGCATTAAACCGTTAGTTTGCTTTTAATCTTTTCCTGTGGTGCGGATTCCATAGAATTATTTTTCTATTTTTCTGGTTCTTAAAATATATTTCACTGGTAATTTATAGTAATTATTATTTCAACCCAATTATGTGAAAAATAGAATATGATATTTTTTTATAAGGGTTATCAAAAACAATTTAAAATGAATCTACCATATGTTTATAAATAAAACAATCTTCGATAGTGATTCAAAGACTTTAAGGTAGATATGTTCAATAGATGTCGATTATTCATTATTGTAGTGAATCTCCGGATAGATGCTTCCGTAGAATAAAAGAATTATTTTTAAAATTAGACATGTTTTATGATTACACCATTTCGTTCCTTTGTACAATCGACTCTGCTTTTAGCAGAGATTTCTTATGTCTTATGGATGTAGAAAGAGTTTTGTAGCTTCTATTTCGTAACCGAACGTATATATTCATGATGGTGGAGGAAATTTCCGCACTGGTGGAGGATGATTCATTCTTTTACTCACTTCAACCTCTCAAAGTCGAACTTCGCGATGAAGCAATACCAGATATGGAAAATTTCCTAAGATCGTTTATAACGAGTGCCCATTACGAACTGGTCTGTTGCATTAAACACCGAGCCCATGAGCGAGCCACGTGGAATTGGGTTTAGTTTTGTATATTATATTCTTATGATATTTTTCAACTCAGCACTTGTTTTGACCGATGGAATTTTCTCTACTGGATAGGAAACTGGTGAAATATTTCAATAATACTCTGTTTTTAATTATTTCAGGGAATGTGTTTCTAAACCTATACATTATAAATGACTTATACAGTATTTAACACGTTTCCGTTGTTTAGTGTTAACACTTTTGTACGACAGAATGGCATTTTACCATAATATACACACTTTGTTTTATACTACAAAATACATATTTAACATGCTATACACGATGGTTCATGAAGTATATCCATGTCTGTTATATTTAAATGTGTAGATGAAATGTTGTAGTGGAGGTGTAGATGGTGTATACATGTCTACATTCACTCAGGCTTCAGCAGCAACAGACTGGCAAACAGATGGACGGTGAAATGGATTTCATTCCTGCCAAAAACGAATTTCGTATTGATCGTCCTCTATATTGCAATGCTTGTTGACTAATCGTCTTATAAGCGTTCTAACCTATATGTATGTGTCCGAATTCTTACTAAACGCACGAGGAGGGGTGGTGGGGGTGTTCTGTGAAGTTTTCCTTATGGAATCAGTTTCCATTCTTTTTCGCATCCTCATTGAACATATACACACTGTGGTCGCCATATTGGTGTGTGTTGATGTATATAACCTGTATATCGCTCCGGAGGGCTGTATTTAGCGATAGCTGACGTTACAGTACTCGTTCTGGGAGCATTATGGTGGCGTTGTCCAATAGACTTCTCACATACAGACTATGGTCGTGGTGGTGTCGATCGAATATATGTGTGTGTGTGTTACCATGGGGGATATTTACAGGATTGAGAGTGGCATGTCGTCTAATTAGGTTGTTTACGTGTGGCTGCGTAGTCTGTATGTTTTACCATAAATCGTTCTCTCCAAACTCGAATAGCAAACTAAACACTGAAACTAGCGCAGGTAGCGGGTGTCATGGCGATCGAGAGACCCAGATATCTTGTGAGAAGGCTGTGTAAATAGCGCGAATTCCCCAAGCTGTGGTCGCAGGTAGGTGATAGCCGATATACCTGTACACACAGAATACCCAGAATGGGAGGCATGTGAGCTTCAATCAAACAGTATTGTATTCTCATGAAGCTAACATTTAGATCGTTCTGGGTGAGAATAAATCACCATTATGCAGGTTCGAATGTTGTTTGAAAGCACATATATTTGTCATTGTAAATGCTCATACATTGTCAAGGTGTGCAGACACAGGTGACAGACAATATATTGTAATACATTGCAACAGTATACAACATGCAATTACTGAAAACAGACGAATTTTTTGAGATTGTTAAATATTTGACATTTAATAGTGATAACAATGTAAAAATGACAACATGATATATGAATTCAAAATGCACAATATACACTATGAAATGATAAATCCAGGCGTTGTGTTTGTCATGTTGACACATCCGACATCCACTAAAATGAAATGAACACTTGAAACTAAAAATGTCATTGTCAAAGTTGTCAAGTTGCCAAGATGAGCACACGGGGATACAGACAAGGGTTCCACAACAAGATGATTTGGAGTCGGCAATGTCACATTCACAGAGACGATATTCATGTCCATGTTCAATAGCACTATGTCGGGGGTTGGGGTCACGATTCCAGCAGCTTGGCGAAGCTAGATGGTAGTGCTGCTCCAACATTAATAAATAACCCTTTCAACACGTTCAGTTCTTTGGTCAGAAGATCAACTTTCTTTTGCAGTCTCTCGTTCTCTCCAACAAGGCTGCTAACACGACCCTCTGTCTGTTTCTGCTTTTCCTTCGCCTTAGCACGGGATTTCCTCACAGCGATATTGTTCCTCGCCCGTTTCTCTATGTACTCTTCCGTACCTTTGGGTAACTGACGTTTCCGGGAGTTCCCTTTTCCACTTGGGGATCGTCCTGGTCCTGGGCTTCCGGCCTGGCTGGAGGATGACACGGTCGGAGAAGCCAAGTTCGTGAGTGATGTAAAGGTAGTTCCCTCACTGCAGGCACCGTAAGCCGTGTTCTCGGACTTGATTGTCTGGTCCCATATAGTCTGGGAATCCTCCGATCCCGATGCTAGCTGCTCGAATTCAGGCATACAGACAGTTGGATATGCGGTAGAAGACGCCTGTCCAAGAGCCACGAAGTCCGTTTGTACCGGACTTGTCAGTTCTGTTTTCACGACCTGGGCGTGTTGCTGTGAAGCCAGGGTGGAATCTGAGGATAGTACGTTAATATTTGCAGATGAATTATTCAGATACGCTGAGATATCGAAAGATAGTTCATGAGCTGGATCCAGCTCAAACAACAGTTTTTCGTCAAATGTCAAACCACTTGCACAGTTTTTCGAAACCTCACCTTTACTGGCTTCGATAAGAGGCGTGTCGTACATCTGGAGGGTATCCATAATTTCTCCTACGCTCGGACATGGTGATCCAGGGAATGCGTCTGTAAAAGACGGAATCTGGAAGGCAGAGTGTAGGGAATCTATCTTGGCGGTTAACGACAACACAACACGTGTGGTCAACTACAGCTTCTTAAGGCTCAGCTTAAGTCTTAATGTCAGGTTTACTCTGTGAGTAAGATTCGTTGAATGATGTGACGTTTGCCTGTCGGTCCTTTTATACACACCGGCAGCCACTTCACCAAGAATGCAGATTCATACGCCAATAAACCACATAAATATTTCACGCCGTTGACAGTTCGTTATAAACCAACAGGCATAAGTCAAAATATTTAATTAGTGTAACGCGATGGCTTATTGACATACTTAATGGTTGAAAATTCATTAATTACTCTTACCGGCTTTCGAACTATATTTTGGGCGAAAGGATAAAGTATTCCCCAGCCGTGCGCGTGTTGCTAACTTTAGCACTTTACGTCAATTTCCAATTTTACCACTGATCATAAAAATAGAAATGACGCGAGCTCGCAGCAAGCAGTGACGTGCATAGGGAACCCTCGCCGTGAAGTCTTGCGCAATAGGGTGGCAATTTAATTCTTGTGTTGTTTATTTAATTCAATACTGGTTGATTTTAAATGCATATTTTATTTGTAGGTTATACCAGCGAAACACATATTTTTCAAAGAATTCTTTTAGCTTGAAAATTTTACCAGTAATATCATTGAACGGTGGAAAATTCCCACAGCTACACCGGGAGAAAGGCGGTTGTCGATTCTGATTGGCTAACCGAAACGATTGCATCAGGTTTCTAAATTTAGATAGCTCCTCCGACATTTTACCAGTTTGTGTAGAAGAAGACGAAGAAATGGAGTAATTAGACTATCTACCGTAGGTCAGACGTTTTCAAGCAGTGCTTGTTAAGCACAGGTGTGAATTTTAACAATTTTATTGTTTTCAATGTTGTAATGTTTATTATTTAGCCCGTAGCGTCCCGCCTTTGCTCGCGCATCATTGTTGAAATGTCAGAGTGTGTGCCGGGCATTGATCACGTCAGTTGTACGCTATGCTACCAATATAGCTTGCGACGTAGTCAGCTCTGATGCTGTGGGTTTAATAACACATTTCATGGATTCGGGGGAAGAATTATGTTGCTAGCAGCGATATTGTATGGGTGTGTATGGTGTATTACATACACAGGTCATTTTGTCATGTTGTTTGATCGTTGTGTACGTCATGTTGTGTACACCATATGATCAGCTGATACGGAAGGGCCCCTCCGGTCTTAGTGCAAACTGATTTCACCGGCATATTTCTTTTTAAAATGAATTTCTCTACATTCAGTGAATTCAAGACGCCATTCTGTATAATTAATATGCCCCACTTCTGCTGTTCTACATTTATATATTATTTCCCAGTACACATATGATATCATGCGTATCAGTTTCATGTCAAACGAGGAAGTCCTCCAAATACATCATGTCATGTATGGAGGAGATATTTACAAACATCAGCAACACCAACAAAACAACAGTTTAAGATTGTTAACAATGAATGTACTGTACATGAATATAGAATTAGAAAGTATGTTTGCCATTGTTTGGCTTTCCAGGGACTGCCATGAAAATAAGTACTTGTAGTAGTCATCAAAATTGTTTATATGTGTGTTTCTTGTTTAACACAGCACACAGAAAGAGTCTACTTAAATAATGGTAGTCTGTTAATTGTCAAATCAAGGCAGTCCAGTGATTGGTGTGATGAACATCAGCCTGTTCACATAGGATAAGATGACATATGCCTGATATGTCTGACAAGTCATTGAGCCTGATAACCCAATCTAATTGGTTGCCACCCTGAACATATTTATTAATATTTTGATATTTTATCTGTTAAATTTTACTGAGGTTGCCTTATTTCAGTTATGTAGATCGTGTTTGAAATAATGTTACGTCTTAGGGACTCTTCACAATTAATACATAGTAATGTTAAAAAATTATGGAAGGGGGAAGGGAAGTAATTGATTTTGTACATGACATGCAGGCGGGTGGTGGGGGACATACTTACTTTGTACATAAAATGTTTTTTTGGGGGGTCACTCACATTGTACATGCTTCTCCATAAAAATCATCACCAGCCTCCCAAGCCATAAATCATGAATGGTCCCTTAAGTGGTATTATTATATTGTTGTTGTTTGCAAATATGTAATTGTATGGAACATCATCTTAGCTCATATTTAACTGTAACACTTTACAGTATTGACAGGTGTAAGAACACGAATAATTACAATGCCTATGGGGGCGGTGGGGTAGCCTAGTGGTTAAAGCGTTGGCTTTCGTCACGCCGAGGACCCGGGTTCGAATCCCCACATGGGTACAATGTGTGAAGCCCATTTCTGGTGTCCCCCGCCGTGATGTTGCTAGAATATTGCTAAAAGCGGCGTAAAACCAAAACTCAGTCAGTCAGGACAATGCCTATGTTAATTTTTAATGGTAACATTTAAATGAATGAATTTAACATGAATATTTAATGTTCAAAAGGGTGACCTATGTATGAGGCAAAGAAATCTGTAGCAATACACATATCAAAATGTTGGGGTTTTTCAGATGATACATGGTTAATACAAATGTACTCTTCTTTCTATGTATAACTACTTTCTGTGATGTAAGTGAAGGAGAAAACAATTCAGAAATCAAATTTCACGATGTATATAAATAATGAAAAAGTCATGAAATAGTGGCAGCAGAATAGATCATTTATTATACTAAATGAACATAATGATAACTTTGATCAGAATCTTTTCGACATTCAGTTTCAATTGTACTCTGCCTCACAGTCCCTGAACCACATTATTTTCCCTACTGCCTAGCCCTCCTTGCAATGCTAAAGCCCTTAATGAAACTAGTCTAGATTTCACCAGGTCCCCAATCTCCCAACTCACTTGGGCTCCTTTTCAATTTAGTGGGTTTATTTGTTACTATCAAAATTATATATTTTCAGGGACTAAGCGTTAGTCTATTTCAACTGTTGCTGCGATTATAGAATACGTTCGCCACCTAACTATGTAACTATTTTACCACCATATTTACCTTATTCCACCAATAATCCTATCCTCTGATACCCGGAGGGTTAGGGTGGGGTGGGTTGGGGTTAGGATTAGGTTAGGGTGGCCGACTTATCTTTATAGCGGCTCCCGACTGTTCTGTTTCGGAAATATCAGAACTCATATCGAGAATTTTGGTTTGGTAGAACCCCCTACTAATGGACTTGAACATTAAAACAGTTATGGCAAGGTGTAATTTGACTAAACTATGAGGGAAAGGTACACCCAAAGCCTCGAGTAACGAGACATCGAACGCGCGCTTTGGGGTTAACCTCAATCGATAGCATTATAGTCCAGGGGGAAGTAACTCCATTCAGAGGTGTCCTTTGACCTAGTTTTCCCAGTCCGCAAACACAACAGACGGGAGATTTTACACTCACCGAATTATCATGACTGTTGTTTCTCCCATTTCATGGTGCAGCTGAAATGTACATAACTGCGGAATGATAATAGCAGTGTGAACTTTAATTCGATACGACAGCCATGGTGTGAATATAACGTACAACCTTTGGCTTAGTGTCACCGCCTTTACATGTGGAGGGCAAACGTAGCGCCTTCAACAGGTTTTAATTTGCTAGACCGATAAAATAATCCTAAAATTAGAGAGTAAAGTAAATGTTGGCAGTTGTTTGTAGAGGCAACACTGTTTAAAATTAGAGATGAAATGGGTGGAAATGATACTTTATTACCGTTCTTTAAAAAAGTTGATTAATGTATATAATCATTGTAACCCAAATACAACAATGATTTAGGTATCGTTTCACAATCATACTTCAGTCATGGTGTGACCTTAGTGGTGGTTTATCATTCATAAGTAGAAGTACTGAGCTAGAAGTTGAAAATTATCTTTATCATCCAAATCATCCATAGGACCACAGGAGATATTGCTTGTGTGAAATCAAACGATTTATCCTCGGAGATATCGTTTTGACAGTAGATTTTGTACAATGCTATGACAATGCTGTGACGTCATGAACTTGACGTCACAATGCTATGACATCGCTGCACTGCGAGTCTAATGGCAGTACCGTTTTCACAGATGTACATTTTTCAATGAAAACTAATAAAGAGGGATCCGGCAAGCCCCGGGTATATGTAACTTTATCAACTCGTGTTGATATAATTGATATCAGAATACACTTGGGAGAGATTCTCTATTTCAACCACCTACTGTGAAGATTAGACCAAGTTCATCTGTAAACCTACCGACTATAACTAGGCCCACTAAATAAAATACTTTGGCTATGAAATCGTGAAACTCAACTCACATTCAGTAATTTTGACTCCTTTCGGTTTATTAGTCGTCTGACCGTAATTTGCTTCATTGTCCTACATGTGGGTGACTGAGTCCAGATACCTAATCCTAACTCAGAAACTGTGAAGCCCATTTCTCGTGTCCCCCGCTTTGATACTGCTAGAATATTACTAAAAGCTGCGTAAAAATCACTCACTCACTCACAACTGACGTAAGGGTAACAAAGTGGTAATAATGGGAGGCACAACGAGGCCTTGTTCTGGAAGCACCAATACCGGTAGCAGATATTGCCTACACAGAATATTTTAGCCATTTGATCTTATGGTGTAGAAAGTCTGGCATTGTCTAATGACAGTCCATGTCACTGTAATTCAACACTAATTAGAATTGTAACCATCATCACAGCCACAACACGCACATGGCCAGGCCTCCATTTTGTCTGTTCACTTTGACCTACTATAGGTTGACTATTTGCATATTTCAGTAATTTCTTCTGATCTTTTTATACAAAATATAAAAGTAGCATTCTGACAATTCAGACGCAACAAATACATATATTTTACCACTGTATTTGAAAGATATGAGTAATTCAATATATTGTATTTATTTTTAGGTTGTGCCCTCCATTACAGTCCGTATAGTATCCACCTCTGCTCGTAGAACAGCAAACCCACACTCGCAACAATGGCTCCAAAACGTACAATGCTTAACTCATCAGACATGGAGGGCACGGATGAGGAGGAATATGAGGCCAAGCGGTCGAGGAAGAGCGAAAAAAGGGCACCGGAAGAGTACCGCAAGCGACGTGACCGCAACAACGTCGCTGTGAGGAAGAGCCGTGACAAGAGCAGGTTCAAGGCCAAAGAGACGATGGAGAAAGTGTCCCGTCTGAGAAACGAAAACGAGCAGCTGGAACAGAAAGTAAAGATTCTCACTAAGGAGCTGAGCGTTCTTAAAGATCTTTTCCTGGCACATGCGGGTACAGTCGCCGAAGGAAACTGCAACGTAGCTAGCAACCACGCTGTTCAAAACGATCACAAGTATTCAATGGACGTGAAGCAAGAATAAGATGGACACACCTATTCCATGAATATGGGAGCTCCCACAGTACTAGATCACTATCGTGGGAGAGTCCATTGTGAAGAATTCAGGGTGTAGTTTTGGTTGAATGTGTAAATATGACTGAATGACTCGGGCGGAGAACTGTTTTCTGATATTCTTCTACTAGTATTTGTACACTGTGTCGTGCATTGTGTTGTATTATCCTGCATATGGAAAAGCAACACTTCAGTGTCTCAGTAGGGCTCTGATGGTGTCAATAATGTGTTAAAAATATTGGGGTTGAAACTGATTTAATGATAGGCATTTTGTCAAATAGACAACAAGAATTATAAAGATTTACCTAAATATATTATTTATACTTGTTACTTTATTTATGTATTAAACACCTTATGGGCCTTTGGTATTTACAGTAGACATCACCCATCTTGTTTTCGATTCAGATCATTTTTCAGATTGTTAATCTGTAATTTGGCACCCGCCCTGAAATGTGTTTTATATGTTTCCTGTATCACAATCAGATATCGTCCTTTGAAGATGTAAACACAAGCACAGGGGTGGAAATAACTTTAAAATTGTTCGTGAACTTCGGTACAGTGGCACATGTAAAATCACTTGCCCTGATAATTTTTTCCACTATACTGGCCGATTTTCTTGTTGATATTTTAAGTAAACAACATAATTAACATTGGAAAGTCAACTGGACCCTGGTACAGTGTGATATACAAATTTGCTTGCCCGACAGAAAAAAACACTGGACTCGGGCGTCGGGCAATTGATTATTTCCACCCCTGTAAGCTATGAAGCATGTTCATAACCAAGTGTGGCAGATGGTGACAGTGGTGTGTAATGCCAGTGGGCTGTAGGAGACATGTCGTTGTTTCCATGAATGGAGTTGTTTTCATGACCATCATGTATCATTCGGTGAAATAAATCATTTTCTTATTTACGTATGTTTTTCTGTATATTGTTTGAAGGTAACTCCGTAATTATGAGTTGTTTAATGTTCAATCCTTGTGAGGAGTCGTTTTAGAATTTATATTCAACAATGCTTGGCGTCCACGGCATCAGATGTATGAGTCGCTTATTCATTTCATCCTAGCCATTTATGTCTTGGATAATGTGCCTGTAATGTCAGTCACGTGATTGTGTGGTCCAAACTCGATTATTAACAGGCTGGGATATTACTGAGTAAAACATTTTTTCCAGTCCCGTTTCCAATCCGATATTAAATATGTTGTTGCACGATCTTAAATATTTTCAGGAAGTGAATCATTGCATTTGTCGTTAGATCCTGCTGCATGCACTTAATGCACTTGCTGATCACTTTTTCATGACATTGTGCTGAAGCTTTATATATAGTGCTATGCAAATCTGGATCGGGGATCTATCAGGAAAACACTATGGAACAGTCAGTACCTCTTTGCAGCGACAGGTCAAAATTAATTATCACTTAAATTCAATTCTTTGTTATTACAAGGCCACCGACTATGGTGCAGGAACATCTGTTTGTAACAATTACAAAATTACATGATCGCTCTAGCGGTTACCTTTTACATTTGGGTCTGCAAGTACGATGTACACATGCAACAGATTTAAACGTTTTGATCAGGAATGTTTTTCAAGAACAGCACTTTTAAATATTTATACATGTTAGTCATTCAAGTTGATGACTTAATCGTATATAGGGAGGACAACAGATATGTACTATTACCGCAGTTCGTGAGAACGGGGATGGAGCCAGTATGAGGTGAAATTTAACGTAACGGTAAAGATTATTGAGCTGTCATTGGATTGTCTCCTCAAGACTCGATTATATTCAGTCCGACGTCATGTGGCTGGAATATTGCTGAGTGCGGCAACAAGCAAGGTGCATTGTAATAGTCCAAGTGAGTGAGTGAGTTTGGTTTTACGCCGTACTCAGCAATATTCCAGCTATATGGCGGCGGTCTGTAAATGATCGAGTCTGGACCAAACAATCCAGTGATCAACAGCATATGGATGGGTTGATGGCCACAAGGGGACGTCGATGTTTCATTCTCGGCTCAAGTGAGCGCTATGTGCGACTGCAAAAGCGCCATGAAATATTTTGTATCGTAGGTCTGTTCAACCTCAGAATACAGCTGACACTCACTGGTCAACACATACACCGTCAATGACACTCACTGGTCAACACATACACCGTCAATGAAACTCACTTGTCAACACATACACCGTCAATGAAACTCACTCACGGCAATGCATCTGGATATAACAAGTCAACCCCATGGTTTCGATCACGTATGTTCAATACTTTAATTGTTAATAACAACCGAAGTCGGATTGGAAACCACAAGTATGATGAACGTTCACGGTTATCCCATGGGAACAATCCAAACCCTTAAACTGGGGCGGAGGGATAGCGAGGTGGTTAAATCGTTCGCTCGTCACGCCGAAGACATGGGTACAATGTGTGAAGCCCATTTCTGGGGTCTCCCGCCGTGATACCGTGGTATTGCTGGAATATTGCTAAAAGCAGCGTAAAACTAAACTCACTCACTCACCCAGTCACTCACTCACTCACCCAGTCACTCACCCAGTCACTCACTCACCCAGTCACTCACTCACTCACTCACTCTCCCAGTCACTCACTCACTCACTCACCCAGTCACTCACTCACTCAATCACGTGTTGCTCAGTTCATCACTGCCTCAGCACGGAATGCAGTTGTCATCACAATTGAACATTGAAGACTACCCCAGCAATATATGTTCAAAACTGGAACACTTGTGGCGAACATAACCAATGGTGTTAGTTAAGGATAACCCATCCATTCATTATGAAATCACGTGTCAATCGTAAAAATAGCCTTGTTTAACGACACAGGCTCATATCACGAGGACCTCTGAATCGAGAATTGATTTTCTTTGGGTGAGCATAATGTCGAGTCGACTAAATCAAAACATGAAGTCTTCTTTCACTGTAGGTGATTTGATAACCTACCTTGGAGGATATAAACACGGTATATTTTTAACGCAATAAATTAATCGGGTGGGATTATTGTGAACTGCCGGTATATTCGTGTGTTACTGAGTTTGAATGTAATGGATTTTGTAATTTGGCTCAAGCTAGCCTGACCCACTTGCTATAAGCCTCCATGGAATTAGTTAAAGAACAGTATGCAGGTACATGTACAAGCTTGGTCGTGCCTAAACTGTAAATTTAGAAAATTTAACCTGTACGCTCTGTTAACACGAAACATGTAATCTAGAATATGATTATTACCCTATTATACCCCATTATACTGATTATGGATCCCGGAGTGACAAGTCCTTACATGGGCGTGTCCACCTACTTTGACATAATGACATACTCTGAAACAAGTGACTTTCAACAAAAACGTGCATATTAACTGATATAATTGTAGATCGGGGGATGTGTGTTAATAATGGGGAGTGGTTGAAGGTGAATGAAACACATACCATACTGTGACTGAAAAAAAACTAGAAATACCTTCTTATTGAAATACTTTTGGGTATTATCAACTGGTTAAAATTCAAAGGTTGCCCCAGTCTCACACCCACACAGAACCCTTCCAAAAAACTCTGTTCACCCATGTGGGGTATGTCAGGGTCACATTTGGGGTTAACCCACATATATTTCGGTAGAGTACGCTAAACGTATTTATTACAATATTCATGTAGTACAATATGTGGTTACACTACTACAACTTTCATTCATACGATCCCTTAGGGAGCTTTTACAACCGAATGGTATTTAATCATTATCGTAACGGTTTGCATCATGATCTGGCCTGCTGGGGGGAATAGGTAGGTCGGCACAATCTGAATAGGCTAGCCCAAGCTGTTTACTTACACCCAGACACAAGTGTAACATTCCATTTTAAGCTTTGACTCAAAACCACATGACTCTGCGTTTACAACAAGGCTTTTGCATGAATGAAACTCCGCTAGTGGGAGCGGCCGGTGTGTCGTATTTAGCCAGCCCTGATAGGCCGGATGTGTGGGGGCTTTCAACTCGCGGCCTTGAAGTACAAGGTCAAGGATATTGGAAAAGTTCGCACAACTAAATCGATTGATCGTTTCCCGTGATTTGACTTCATTTCTTTCACATCAACTGTCGGAACATGAGATGTCCAGGGATATAATCTCTCTATTGTATATATGAATGAAATATCCATTTAACGAATTATGTCGTATAATACATTTGCTGGTGCCTGCTCGCGCCCTGTATGTAAGGTTTGGGTAAAGGATATCAATATCCAATCCTCCTTGCTGCACCCTTCTATGCTATACTGAGCGGACATGCATGGAAAATGATTCATGCACTTACTGCTATATCTAAAATGTTCAGTCTGACATTTCAGTGGAAATATATCAAACATGTTTGCCTAATGTAAATATCGGGAGATTGAAAATTAAGAAAACTAAGACCAGACACCGTATAATCCATGGCTTCTGCTAAAACATAAATTTGTTTTGTGGGATTTAATCCTCGGAATCGAGTCGTATATACAAGCCTGTTTCTCACATATAGTCTATTTCCTTTGCTTGAAACTTTCTATTTGTTTTCGGATTTCCTAATGTAAGGAAGGTCGTAGTGTTTTGTTGAAATCAATTAAACAACTGAAACTAAGATATCAGCATAGTTTTGAATTATACACCACTAGGATTAAATGAAAAACTATAGGCTCACTGGACGATTAATTATCATATTCTTTTATTGGCGAATAATACGTCTGTATATCATCAATATAACTGCTTCAGGTGATGCTCTACACAGTAACTTCCGGTATTCACACAGTGATGGTGTATTTCGGTTTTTAGGCCCATGACCCAGGTACAAAACATATTTTAAATGAATAACAGCGACAAGATATTCCATCTGTCACAGTGATAAGTCATTCAAAACAATTCCTTTCCACAGTGGTCCCTACTTCTAGTATTCTCGTGTTGTTGATCTTGTATGTGATGGATCTTTGGAATTTTCCTCGTGTCAGCCTGACCTACACCTGTAGTTCGCCAACCGCATCATGGAAAGTTCTTTGAGTGAAATCATAATCCGCATCATGGAATTTCTCGAAGAACACGTATAAAGGTACAAAGCCGAGTGTTTAAGCGTTCGCTCGTCACGCTGGAGACCTGGGTTCGATTCCCAACGTGGGTACAATGTGTGAAGCCCATGTC